TAATTAATACAAAGGGTTATTTTTAATTAATGTATTTAATTATTCTAAACATTTACAAAAATGTTGCTTATTTATTTAATTTTGATTAATCTTTTATTTTAAAATAAGCTATTCGTGATTATTGTACTTTATCTCTCATTTATTAGTGTTGACTTAGTTGTGAGAAGTAGATCAAATTTTATTTGTCTTTTTTTTTTTTTATAATCGCTACGTACGGTTTACAATATGCTGTATTATGTGACCTTGGTAGATTATAAAATAAAATTTCGAAACCTATCGGAGTGGTTTGCATCAATTTTCATGTGACTAATTCTGAATCGAATAAATTAATCGGATAATCTACGAAGTGATATAATGGTTGACTTATTTGATTTGTTGATCACACTGCGGTGATGATCTCAAGCGGTAAAATAGCAAACTATATCAATATATGTATATTATATAATACAGTATTGGTGTCCATTTATATATTCGGATATAAGTCACTCTCACATTCGATATAGTGAAGATTGGCTTATACGTAGTGAAGAATTTTTTTAGAACAGAATAGCAGGATCAGATGTAATGTGAAAATTGAATATTATGATTTTTATATAATAATTATTAATAAATTTTCGCTCTATATAATTAAGTTGAATAGTAAACTCTCGATATAAGCTATAGTGAAGATTTTGTATCAAAATATCTTATATAATAGTGAAGATTTTATTATATAATATTTTATTAGCCAATTAAATTGATTATATTGCTATATATAATATATTTGATTATTGTATTAAAAGGCTCTCGATATAGTGAATCTTTCAATATAGTGAAGAAATTTTTACAGCCCGAGGACTTCATTATAAAGAGAGTGACATATATATATATATATACATAGTATAATTTTTAAATGTACTTAGTTTTTAATAAATTCATATATATATATATATATATATTATATTTTTTGTCACACATAAAATTCAGAGCAAATAAACGTTATTCCCTACCGATTTATTGATCGATGGCGCAGTCACAATGAGTTAAATAATTGCAATTTTTACGTAATTAGCTTACGTGTAATATATTCGCTGTCAAATTTAAATACATGTGATTTTCCATTTAAAAAATCGGGGCACATTAAGTATTATATGCAGCGTTCTACGTGAAAGAAAATTGCAATTAATTACAATTATTTCGTCACTTATTTCAAGTAATTTCATGATAATTTTAATTGATTTTAATTAATTAATTGTATAACAAAATTAAATTTTCGATAGGCCAGCTTAAAAACAGCCATAGTCACTAGAGATGTAAAAATGAACTATATCAGTCACAAACTGGCGGGTTAACTATATAAAACATATTTTTAACTATATAGTTGCGTTTATTAAAGTTAATTAATTAGAACTATTGAAGTTATTGAAATATTTTGGTTAATTATCAAAAGTTTTTTTTTTTTTTTGGCATCTTTTTATACGTGATAGTAGTATTTATTAATTAATTACATAAATTATGTAACCGTTACAAAAACTAGTTCATACGTATTAACAGTAATAGTTTTTTAAGACGTGTCAATAGACGTTAATTCAAATGAATTAAGTCCAGAACGGGACCATCCTGATATGCTAACATATACTGTAACTACTTACTAACTACTTAAAAACCTTAATAGTCACGTATATTATGAAACATAAATAAGCAGAAACGTAGGTGATGGTGAAATGGTTATAGAAACTGATTAAAAAATACGATAACCTAATTTCAGTATCGATGGAACATACTGAGAGTTGAAAGAAAACTAAATAAGGCTAGTATAAAATCTATAAATTTGTAAAGGCAAAAAAGTTCAAATAAATTCACATATTTGAAATTATTGCTAAACACTAATTTAAAAAAGAAATAAGGTTAAATAAATGGTAAAAGCTAACTTTAATACACGAAGGTTGTGTATTCCATTGCTAATAACGTTGCAATAAGTACATATATAGTAATAAGGGCGATAAGTTTCAGAATTCACTTTTTAAATTCTGCATCGTGATCCCGGTTTTGGTTCTGATAAAGAGGATCACAATAATATCCGAATAAATCATATTATCCGGCATTATATGTGATAATTTCATATCCAAGTAATTATATTTGTAACACTTTATTTTTAAAGTTTTCATTTAGGATTCGAAATACAAAAATCATAATATTCTAGAATTTCTAAAGTGACAGTCAAATATACTTTTTTAGAAAGAAATATTTTTATGTGCTCTTTTAATTATATCATGTGATAAAAGTGAAAGGAGAAAAACAAAGAAAAATCACGTTTCGATGAACATCGGAATTTTTCATTGAAAGGATTTGGTAATCGGGTAAAAATAAAGGTAACGCAAATAATCGAACCAATATTAAATGTATGTAGTGTCAAAAACAGGTGTAGATCAAACTTTTTAATCGACGTTCTACTAGTGTGAAAAAAAAACCTCCCATCACAAAACCCTTGTATTCATGTACAGTACATGAAGTTTACTTACAAAAAAGTAGATGCATTATGAAATCAAAATTGCACCAATTCTATACTTGAATTAAAGATTCAAAAAAAAAAAAATCTTATTATTATGTAATCTGATGCCTGCATTTTACTTGTTTACGTACACTAAATTCTTAAGAGCTCATAGAATGTCACACTAAAAAATATTTATCAATTACGTAAAGGTATATAAACATGAACACGTTATCACGTTAATCATTTTACTGTATTTAAAGTTAATAATATATGCGCTTTGAAAATCTTGCATCCTTAATAAATTGCATTGATTGCTGACAAACTGATCCACGCTATTTTATTCACTTCTCTGTACTTGTTTTCATTACATACATTGCATATAATTAATCGTTTTTAATACGATTGTAGAATTGCATTTCCGTGTTAAGTTCGTGCATCAATTATAATCGATAATAGTTTCATTCATATAAATATATGCTTCTTACATCTTTAACCAGATGAAAATTTTTACTTTCCAACTTTTCTAAGCGCGTAAGTTTATCAGAAATGGACCAAACCGATTCTAATATCAAAAATAATTATTACAAACAACATCAATTTCATTCTCAACAGTTTCAACCATATCAATTACAAAATCATTCTTCTGAACTCTTGGTCCCTTTAGCTTCTTCTACTGAACTTTGTAACAATAATAAAGAACCTTTGACTGAACATGATTTGCAACGACTTCAAAAACTCGTCGATTTAATCTTTTCGAATAAATCTACGGTTACTTCTAAACTTCCTATTCCCTCCTCAGAAGATGATATTTTATCTTCTATCATTCTCTACCTTCCACTTCTTATTAATAAACCTTTGGAAATAAATCAAATTACATTTCCAATAAATATTATGTTGTATCATACTTATCCTAATCTTTTTAGGTGAACTTATTGATAATAACTTAAATCATAATACAATGACTCTCCCTTCTATTAATGAACCTATTTCTTCTAATATTATTGTTACACCCCTTTGCACTCCATCTAAAGAGCTATGTAAACAACTGATAAACGATTATTTTAACAAATTCAATGTTATCACTCCTATTATTAATCGTAAAAAATTTAATGAACAAAATTATGATAATAAGAAAAATTCAGAAATGATAATGTGTGCAATTTTAGCTGTTGCTGCATCAAAATATTCTGATGATCCTTCGATTCAAAAAACTCCTGATAAACCTGGTGGTATATTTTTTGATTATGCTAAGGTAAGTTTATAATTTTATCTTTTAATTACGCGAATATATTTTTATTTATATTGCACATTATAAATAACCTTTTTTTTTAAAAAAAAACATTTGTACGTATATACGTACGTATTTAATGTATGTAGAAATTATTAGATACAAAATATAATATACCAAGTTTGGAAACTGTTCAAACGTTACTACTTCTGGGACATGCAGAAGATAGCATGACGCGCATTTATAGTGTATCAATGTTTTTTGGCATGGCAGGTATATAAGTGCTTTGTATACCCTATAAGTTAATTTTTTTTCTGTAAGGGTTTTATTAGCATTAAATTTATTTATGCCTTAAATATGTAGTTCAAATGGCTCATATTTTACATCTTGAACGAGATGATGATAATTTATCCTCGGATGAAAAAGAAGAAAGAAGAAGAATATTTTACTGTGTTTACTGTGTAGAGAGGTATATTATTATATATATTATTATATGTATTATTATGTATACGTATACTTTTTTATATATTATTATGTATACGTATACTTTTTTATACTAAATTACGCAAATATTATTTTACTATTTACTATAGATGGATATCATTCATATTTGGAAAACCTATTGTCATTGATGATATAAATATCGATGTTCCTTTACCTACTTTACCTTCATTTGGCACTTTGACGAAAAAGTTCTTTATAGCATGGATAAAGCTATCACGTATACTTGGCCAAATTTGGAATTTTGGTTATTCTTCTCAGTCCTTGGCTTCTCGAGAAAGTTGGTTCTTCTATGCAACTGATCAAAAAAACTTGTTAAAACAAATTCGTTTAGAATTGACAAGATGGTTAAGAGAATTACCGGATGAATTACGTTGTCAATATTTGCCGAATGCTGATTCAAGTCGTGCTAAACCATCTAATTTTTCCGCTTTTGCTGGTACATAATATTTTAATAAATTTTAATAATGTGTTATTTTTTTATTTCCCATGACTTTTTTTTTATTTATTTAATTA